AGTGCAAGACCAAAGGCTTTTGAATAGCACCAGCCCGAGGACGAAAGTTCACGCAAAGCCATCAAACAAGAGATACTACGATATCAGAAACATTCTACGGAAATTCTTTTTCAGTTGTGGCCCAGCGGTCGTGGCGCTTGCTCTTCCTGCCCATATCCCCAACGCTGGCCCCAAAAATAGAACGCTTCATGTCTCCCACACCCAACGATTAGTAACAAGAAGCTAGTAAGTTGGAGGCCATCGCTATTAGGTTGAAGGCCATCGCTACTAGGTTGGAGGCCATCGCTACAAGGTGGAGGCCATTACTACTGGTAACAAGAAGCTACTAGTAGCTCCTGGCATTACTACTGGTAGCATCTAGTAGCAAGAAACTATCGCTCGTAAATGAGCAGCAAAGGTGGTGCTTACCTCCATAGAGTCCAAAACTCTGGGGCCACGACCAGTTCACCAGGAACATTGTAGACCTCATGGACGCTTGGCGCCAAGGTGTCTTGAGTCAAGGTGTGAAATCCTCTGCCCTCAGTGCGTTGGACGCCAACTCGTGAACTGAGAGCGAAAAAAATGGCTTGAAGCCTTGAAGCACCACAGTGATTCGGCTATTTCATGCTCCGTTATCCCCTGATTAGTTATGCCAAACCGAAAGCCACAAAGGGCGACCCGTGGATAAAGAGGTCATCAGCATGGTAAGATTTCGCACGTTGACCTGACACCATCTACTCCATTCATCGAGCAGCAACGCTAAAACTGCTGATGACATTGTCCAGGTGTAAGCTTCACAATTTGCATGTATTTCCCCCCCATGTAGGCCACGTGTTTCACGCAAGGAAGCTTGGCCACATGGTTTATTGGCCAAACCTGTATGATAGCGTTTGTTCTATTCCCAAGCCGCACACCACCTTCCAAGAGCTCCACTGTCGCGTGATCTTGAGCGTCAAACAGCTTGAGCATCGGAACGAACGATCATCAGGAATCAGGTAGACTTGATAGTGAGTCGTGAGTCTGTTGTTCCGCAGCTCATACTTGCAAACGAAGGACGCTTCGCTGGCTTTTTGAAGCCCATGAGGAATAATGCGCGGGGATTGAGCTTGGTGCAAGCTTTCCCTTGTGCATCACCCAAACGAATGGTTCACCAAGGAAAAGACCCATTGTATCCTAGAATCTAGGAACCAAATCATTAGTGCGAGTGCTTCTTTGAAAAAGCATGAGCTATCCTGCGTCCAGTTACTAGTTCCAAGTAGCTAGGAGCTTACTAGTCCCTTACTTAATTAAGGAGTAGACGCCTACTTAATTAAGTAGGGAGGGGGGGAGCCGGCTAACAAAAACAAGTGAATAACCCTGAAGACGTGTTTTCTCAATGAGGTAACTAATTCTCCCCACCCCCGAATTAGGATGTGGCAGTAGACGAAGTCCCTACTTTGGCCAATACCCCGGAAGTTCTGCACAAGGCTTGTCCTGCTGCTTCATTGTCGTGCAGACGGGTTGTTGCAAGTCCTGACATGTCATGCCACCATGCATCTTGGAAAGCCAGGCAAGGATGTTCAAGATCCAGAAGTTTCTTTGAAAGGAAGGGGTAGATGAATTTCTTTGTGTCACATCATCACTGCGTCCCGCCCCATACCTGAAGTGTCACACTAAGGACTGCAGCGTCTGCTTACTGCAAAGCCCTACTATCCATGCACTGGATTCAACATGCATTTAAAAGCACTCTTCAGAGCCTCCTCTAGATTGGCACTGGTGTCTTGTCTGCGTGTGGGAAGGTTCCAATACTTTTTCTCATTTGCTAGAAACGACAAGAAGTGTTGCCAGCGCTCTGTCATGGTCATGTATCTGTGTCACTTGCAACAAACATAGGCTAAGTGGTAGACTTCTCTTCAAGTGCATTTCAACCTCTCAAAAGGAAGCATCTAGGTCCCTAGGTGGTACTTAGAGATCCTGACAAAAACATGTTGAAGAGTCTGTAAAAACAAGCATGTGTTCCCCGATCTCTTTCGATTGAAAATGCATTGGTCTCTTCGAAACGTAGGAGTGCGTGTTTCGACAAGTGCATTTTAAGAACGCGCGGTTCGAACGCAGGAACGTGCGAAATTTTGTCACTTAGCACAAGGTGGTTGTTGTTAGAATTCTCCGCTATCAGCGGGAAACTCAAGGCAATGTTGGATGGAACATCTCCCTTGAGAGTAAATGGCCTGCTTTGTGTCCTTCCGGCTATCACTCCCAAACAGTGTTAAGAAAACAACAAAAGGAAAAAAGTTATATTGGCTGGAACAATTGACAGTGGCATGCAACAATTTCCAAAACATTCAAGTGCCACGGGCCCTGAGTTTACAATATAATAAGGCTCTGAAGATGTCAAGGGCCCTTCCGGATGCCCTCACTTTGGATTTCAGGCGCCCGCGGCTCCGCTGGCGATTAAGGCTGGCATGGCGGATGATCTTTGCTGCTTTGATAACCTGACTTTAATGAACGGTTGCTCATAAGCTTCAAGAGGGATTTGCGAAAAGGCCGTGGGTTTTCTCCGCCTGAGTGCCAGTTATTCCAAGGTCAGATCAGACCTTTAGAAAATGATGTTGAATCACAGGACAACATTAAAGCCGTTTTGTAGACCCATATAGTTCAGAAATCCGTGCACAACACATTTGCGTGTGAACACGGAGCACAAACAAAGGCACTTTAAGAAAGTTGAGACAATCCTCGGTGCCACACCTGGTGCTTTCACTGATTGGTAATCCCCAACATGTTCAGTTGGGATGATCTCGCCAAGCAAGTTAGGTCGAATTGAGAAGAACAATCGCTCCTCATCCGTCTAGCAAAGAAGAGGTTTTATAACGTTGATGATTTCGATAGTGATTCGACAGCATGATTGGGTATTTCAGTGGTGAACATAACACAGAACCGCTGGAAAGGTCCACAAAACAGCTCTACGAGTCTACGAGGTATTCAACGGCATGCCACAGCATGTCCCTCAGTAGCAGCTATGGGCCTGTGGGGCCAACTGCGCTGAAGACCACGAGCCACGCTCCATTGTGGGATACTGTCATTGGCAGGCTCTAGAACTAAGATGGCGTCACAGTTGAGTGTCAAAGTAGCCCAGCTTCCCAACCCAACAGCAAACAGCAGATCGATATATAGCATGTCGTTGGAAAGTTCACACGATCCTCTTTCCCTCACATGCAAAGTTGTTGGGTTGTCTCTGGCAGTACCTGTACAGAAAGCTCTCGGCCCATGTTTCTCATTGACCTCACTGTTGCTACAGCCAGTCTGAAGCCAGAGGTCGCACATCGCAAGCGGTCAAGCGCCTACTAGATCCTACTAGCCTGAAGCGAAAATCCAAGAGTGCACCAGCCTCAAGACGTGGAGAGATACCCAGACACAGCACCAATCAGCAAACACAGGTCATTCGCTAGCTGAAGCTTGCCGGTTCTGTCTGGGATCATACACCACACGTGATGTCACCCGCACATGCCCATGGGAAGACTGCCACATGCACCATCACCAGCCATTCCAATAATTCGGATTCGCTTTTGCGCGGTCTGTCTGTGGTCATACCCACAACCAGTAGGCCACAGGTCACTAACGCATACGTGCAATGCTCGGATACATACAGCCATGGCACACAGGGCTCAGAATTCTCTCCTCTTCTCTTTGGCACCGCAGAGCAAGATCCCACGAAGTTATTGAAACAAAGTTTCAAAACAAGGGGCGCAATTCCACACAGCCAGCTCGGCTCAGCAAATACTGTCATGATCCGGAGAGCGTTTCCATACACTTAATCCTCCTTCAAAGTCCCTCACCCAGCCGAGCAAAAAGGGCATTCTTCATCATGAAGCTGGCCCGATCAAATGGGGCACGCATACGCGATCGCTCCGCATGGCTTGCAAGCAATACCTTCGTAGCACTGCTCGCCCTATCCAGCTTGTTCACGACGTCCCCAATGGAATTCGTTGGGTTTCTCACGCCTTCACGTCACAAAAAAGAGCAGCACTAAGTTGAATTTTGGCCACGCCAAATTTTGCATCTGCGGGTTTTTACTCCAAGTGCAGCTTCAAGTACTGAAACAGTTCTCTCCCGCGCGCCGGCGGTGTTGGTACCAAGCTGTGGCGAGCGCAGCAACCAACAAAGACAACTCGAAAAGCGCGGACCGTTGTCCTTCAAAACAGTGATCAAATGCTACTTGTCAACACACCATGACTATTTCACCCGATTTTGTTTCTTGTCTGGCATAAGCAAGCGTCTAGCGCGGTGGCCTGCATCAGGTTCAACAATTTCCAAGACGATGTCGCAATGACAACTCAAAAATAATCCCATAGTTCGGCAACGGCCCATGGAAAGCCTTCACCCTGCATGGGTTGCGAGCAGTGATGCGTCCATGCCCAAACAGCTGCAAAGCCAAAGACAGAAGCTTCCAACAAAAGAAACATCACGCATTCTAATCAGCCCTACTATTCCTGGAGCTTGTGCCTCTTGTCGCAGGCTGTCATGCCAGACTTGAACAGTGCAGCCGAGTTGGTCATGCGGCATGCGTGAGAAGACATTGCTCCGTCGAAAGATCCGTTTGACAATGACGAAGTCCTTGACCGATGTTCAGACCTACCGTTGACGAGGTGTGCTCCTGCAAACAGAAACCCAAGCAGAACTATGACTGCAAGACTGTCTCCAGGCATGCAGGCAAAGCAGCCTCGTCCAAACACCATCACAATCATCTGAAAGTAAGACAACAGATCTCCTCTCAACCATTCTGGCACCCATTGCGGCGGTGGTGTTGCGCCACTCTAGACACAAATGACACAATGCATGTCACAGGATTGTCTATCACGCATTCATCACATGTAACCTCGAAGCTGAAGGAATGCCTGCGAAAACATCATGACCAAAAAGATCTGCGTCCACGTTAAGCCTGAATGTAGCCATGCTCACAAGACTCACAAGCTGTTTCATGCTGACCTTGAGACTTGCTGCTGCTCGCACAGCAATAGATCAAAACACCACCTAACACAAGGTCTCAAAATCCTTCGAGCAAAGAACAAGCCCGCAGTGTGAAGGAATTGTGGGATTCCCAGCCACAACGATTCCATAATTCTGGAATTCCAACTTTCAAGAGTCCCGAGTTCTCCAACAGGGTTGGAAACTTAAAGGTTCAAGGACAATCTCCTTCTCCGAGGCCTCGAGACTTCTCTAAGATTGCAGTTGCAAGGTTCCAGAGCTTAATTCGTCTTCTTCTTCTTCTTCTTCTTGTTCTTCTTCTTCTTCTTCTTCTTCCTCCAGAGCTCTTCAAGGTTGCAAGTTTCCAGGGTTCCTTCTTCTCCTTCTTCTCCTCCTCCTCCTTCTTCGGTCTTTCTTCCTTTTCTTCTTCCTTCTTTCTTCTGTCTTCTTTGTTTGTTTCTTCCTCTACAGTTCTTCAAGGCTGCAAAGTTCCAAGGTTCGAGGAATCCAGCGTTCCAAGGCGCTATAGGTTTTGGCCCGAAAAGACAGACGATGCACAACTCCTAGGCCAAGAGATTGAAACCCAACACCATTACGTTATTACGTTAGGAACAACTCCCTGCACCAATGTGGTGCTTGGTTTAAAGGGTAGTTACTCATCCAAGAGCATCCACATCCACCCGCATCCAAGGAGGCTGACTGGTTTAATCTTGATTGAACATGAATCCGTCTAAACTCTGTTGAGTCAAGAACAACAGGGAGGTAGTACAGAGGTACCTTGCGGTACTAGTAGAGGAGATAGAAATAGAAAGCACACTTCTTAAAGGCCACATTCTTGTTTCAAAAAGACGTGCTGGTGGAAGAAGCAAGGCGTAGTTGAGGCTAAGACCCAAGAATCAGAGACTGTCAGTAAGAGTAAGAGCATCTCCAACTGCAGCCGTGTGTCCTCCGGCCTATTCACCTATTCGCTGTTCCACGGCACCTTGTGGCTGCAGGGCACTGCACGGACATTCGGATTGCTACCTAAACCATCGTACCATGTGACTGGATCCTTCCGTTCGTGAGTACTTAGTGCCGTTCATCTGCATCAACGAATCCAGGGATCCAAAATAAATCTTTCAAATTCTGACTATTGAGGACCTCACTATGCATCCATGTTGCAAGGAATCCAGGGCCCCGTACGTCGGACAATCTCCAGTCCTTGC